TTTTGGAAGGCCAAACAAAGTAGTTTCGCTTTCACAACGAAACACACAGCGACGCCACAACATGGCAGCGTGAATAAAAGTTACGCCTTCTTTCTTTGCGTGAACATTTGGGCGGCGTTATGCAACTCTTCCCACATCGTGACGTAGACATGTGGGGGCATGTTAGAATGAGCCATTTTAGGAGGGTGTGGTTGACTCTTAACTCTTATAAAGAATATCTCTTTGGATTTGAGACTTTAGTCTTTGCAACTGCTACAGATCTTCTTTATGCACCAAGAGCTTGTAACACTCCAAAGAGAAAGGAAAAATTTAAATCGCATCATATGACCCCTTTAATTATAATAAAACTCACGTTATGAGCCCCTTCATATAAACTACATTACCCATAATGCTCTGGGCGTCGCTTTGTGACGCAGACACACCTCTTACTGTGATTGGCTGCTTTCTGCAAGCGTTCACTACGCTCTCATTCAGAGGGTTGAAGGTGAAATTTGCTGTTCTTTGCATGCAGTTTTCCATCGCGATTATGCCGTCCTGTGCCATTTACAGTACACGCACACACCTGTGCAGATATCTGGTGAGTTTGAGCTAAATAAATCGATAGCCGATAATGACTATGCCGCGAGACTTACGGCGCATACAGTAGTTTGACTGCAGGCCTTTTTCATTATTTCAGAACCGAAGTTACCCAGTCCTGTTTTAAACAGTGCACCTCACCTCTTAAAATGTAGATATTCAAAATATAAGGTGTTCATATAAATGCAACAGCCATTTATTATGCCAGCAAAATAGTTTTTGAATCTGCCTTTGCAGGCACATAAATATCTGAGCAGGACCTACAGCACACGACCATCTCTAAATGTGAGTAAAATATTATGCGATTTTATCAGTTTATGGAGCCAGAGCTGGTTCTGTCAGTGAATATTATCTGCATTGAGTGAGTGTTATCTTCCTCTCGTTTCTATCTGGACAGGAAGTCGTCATTGTCAGTGCAGTCAGGACTCCTATGGGCTCTTTCAAAGGAAGCTTTTCCACAGTCCCTGCAACTAAACTGGGCTCCATTGCTATTAAAGGAGCCGTTGAGAAAGCAGGTACAATTCTGATGGTCTTAGGAGAAATTCGTATTTTATTTCATGTTATATAAAATTCTGATGGTCTTAGGAGAAATTCGTATTTTATTTCATATTATATTTAGATATTACATTTATGTAGTTTAAGAATATAACAGTTAATTATAATTAATATTTTTTATAATATTATGTTATTTAATTATTAATATTAATATTTTCAAATGTACACCACGGCCATTCAAAAGTTTGGGGACAATATAATTAATTTTTGAAAGAAAATAATACTTTTATTTAGCAATAATGCATTAAATTGACCCAAAGTGACAGTAAAACATTTATAATGTTACCAAAAAAAATTGATTTCATATAAATGCTGTTCTTTGGAACCACTGTTCATCAAATAATCCTGAAAAATGGTAATGCTAATCAGAAAAGTATGCTATTTGTTTCTACGACAGGTGCAACATAGTTTGATATTTTGTATTCTAATGCTATGCTATTCATATGCGTGTTATTATTTCTGCATTTTTAAGTCTTATTTGTTCTAGCTGTCTGCATGATAAAAGGTTTATGTGTCATCTACAGGAATTCCTGTTGAGGAGGTGAAGGAAGTTTATATGGGCAATGTGTTGCAGGCAGGAGAAGGACAAGCACCAACCAGACAGGCTCTTCTGGGTGCAGGTGAGTCATATATCATGCACATAAACAAACATCATAAAAAAAAATGCATCTTTTATTTCGGAATTTACAAATGCAACTTCTCAAAGAAAAGTGAGTGATGTTTGTGATCTTCCTCATGTAGGTCTCCCTCTGTCCACTCCGGCAACTACCATTAATAAAGTGTGTGCTTCTGGGATGAAGTCCATCATGATGGCCGCTCAGAGTCTCATGTGTGGGCATCAGGTAATGTGAAAGACACGTTACCAGAGATTCAAAAAGTGTTTTGTGTGTAAGTAACAGCCTTTAGCGTGCTAATACAGCAGAGATAGTAAATCCCAACCAGACAGGCTCTTCTGGGTGCAGGTGAGTCATATATCATGCACATAAACAAACATCATAAAAAAAAATGCATCTTTTATTTCGGAATTTACAAATGCAACTTCTCAAAGAAAAGTGAGTGATGTTTGTGATCTTCCTCATGTAGGTCTCCCTCTGTCCACTCCGGCAACTACCATTAATAAAGTGTGTGCTTCTGGGATGAAGTCCATCATGATGGCCGCTCAGAGTCTCATGTGTGGGCATCAGGTAATGTGAAAGACACGTTACCAGAGATTCAAAAAGTGTTTTGTGTGTAAGTAACAGCCTTTAGCGTGCTAATACAGCAGAGATAGTAAATCTACCTGATGTCGGCCAGGATGTGATGGTTGCTGGTGGAATGGAAAGCATGTCTCAGGTTCCTTATGTCATGGCCAGAGAAGCGCCCTCTTATGGTGGAGTGAAGATGGAGGATCTGATTGTTAAGGATGGGCTGACGGACGTCTACAACAAATTCCACATGGTACATGTTTTTTGAACCAGTAAAACGGATTGCATTGTATTTGCATAATAGTTAAGCCTGCTAATAAGTACTTAGTAAATAAAGGAAGTGAGTGAAGTTGTGTGGAGGCATTGGACAGCAAATGTACTGTACGTATAACACTAGAGAGGTCATGACTGTGTAAAACTCCTCCATATTTCCCCATTTTTAGGGCAGCTGTGCTGAAAATACAGCCAAGAACACTGGTATCTCCAGGGAGGAGCAGGACGCGTTTGCCATCAACTCGTACAGCCGCAGCAAAGCAGCATG